CCTCCTGTTTTTCCATACTCAATAGAATATTGATTTTAAGAGTACACTATTTTTTAGCAGGTCTCCAAGAAACATCTGGGATAGTGAATTTACACTTAAAAGTGCCTGAAAATTTTTAGGTGTCTGAAATTTCTGAAACTAAATACTTCTTAAAGCACCACTAGTGGTTTACAATTTTAAGAAAGCTATGAACATTCACAAGATATAGTACTGGCTTAGTTTTCCCAGTAGATGCTGATAACTTATGAAAGCCCTAGAACCCAGCTGGAGCCAAGAACGAGAAACCCTCCAGAAAATCTAATTGCAAGCTACTTTTCTAGATTTTCTGAAGAAAAAAAACATACTAGAAAAACACCGCAGATTATTCAGTCTGCAAAATTATCACTATTATTCTTACAAAAAGGTGGTTCCTTCATAACAAAACAAATGCTTATATTTACTTCTGACATTTATGAGTACTCCTTTTATAATACTACAATGATGCTTAGCAGGAAAAGTTTAAGTGTATACTGGTTGATGGATGTTCTAACATAATTTTAAGATTATTTTAATGTATAATTCCTAACATAAGACATTAAACAATGCATACATCTTAATTTGAGAAGCTTCTGATCCCCAATGCATTATTTATTTTTTGTACAGCTACTAAGACTGGCAACGGAACAGGTACTATTTATTATGCCAAGGCTTTAAACATCTTGAGAAAGAAAATGAATATGGATATTTCCCGCCACTAGTGGCATACTGGTGTTTTTTCAAGATCATCCAATGACTCACATTATGCCCAACACTGGAAGAAGCTGACTTATTATGCATTATCACGACTCTTGTTGTCATGCCTCCAGCTCTTAGAATATACTTCTGCCTTCTCAGAGTAGGTGGAAAAAGCAAGGACACTGCTTTAGCAATGTTTCCTGCTAAAATACCCTGTATACCTTGCAGAGAGCATAATGGATGATCCACTACTTACACCCCACTTGTCTCCAATATGTAACACAAACACAGAACCAGGTCTGAATACGTGCCAAAATTCTCCCCTGCTGCCCCCTGCCTCCTTCACTTAGTGCAACAGCAAAAGACATACATATGTACTTTTCTTACCTTTCTAGAAACCAGCTGAATTGCATCCTCTTCAAATGCCTTCATGCTGTTCAGTCTGGATGAAATAATTTGCTGTAACTGTTTGTAGGTGTAGGGCTGAAAGGACATTCTGGTAAGACCCTATAGTAAACAACAATAGAGTGAGAAACATTTGTAGCACTTGAAAACTCTCAGCTGCTCAAGCATAGCCTGTATAGTTAGTTTTATTTTCTCTGGTAGGAGCAATCTCTTTTTCATATCCTTCCCCTCCGAGTGATATGCTTTAATCAATTCTTCCACCTCATATTTGTGAAATATATGTGCAAATCCACAAAACTCTAAGTGAGGACCACTGGTTGGACCTCTCCACTGAAAGGCCTGAGGAGCAAGCACTATTAGAATTAAAGTTTCTCTTACAAAACTTGTAAACAAATCAGAGCCACCTAATACAAAAATCTTTTGATTACAATGGTTTACACTTTATTTTTTAATATAGTAACAGCAGAAGCTATGAAAAAATACTAATCTCTCCTTTAGCAAATCTGTATATATGTATACAGTCATACTATTGACTTGATGTCAGCAATCAGCCACGAATTAAAAATCTTCTGGCTCAAGCTAATAAAAACTGCTGTCAGATGAGGAGGACAGTCTATGTTATAGAAGGTACACTGCCTCCCATATTGTACAGGAGGCCTGAGTTTTGCATTTCTTATGCAAAAGTCTTCTCTCTTGTGACTATATGGACTCAGCTGATCTGCAGGTTTACGGGGTGGGGGAAAGCAATTCACACACCATGGAACTATTTTTGAGTCACAGAAGGATGGAGGCACAGAGCACTGGTCTTGCAAATAACTTCTCAGAGCAGTGATGAAGAGATGACCTAGGAAAATGTATTCAACACAGTTGTAGAGTGCATCTAACTTTCTGTCCAAAGGTATTCAACAAAGAAAAATCTACAAGCTTATGATGGCAAACAGAGAGAAGTAACTAGGTGCCTGGCATGAAAGGGGAAAGAGGAAGGGAAAACAGAGAAGAATTCTTCTGAACTCTAGAGTAAGCAGCTGAACCATGAAGCATGGCATTTGATTATCCAGATCTTAATATGTTTAAAAAGACATCTGCATTCTTAATTCATTCTTCCAATAACATAGTGTACTTACACAGCATAACATCTGATTAGCAAGCTGGCTCCTAAACTTAATTTTCTAAGATTTATGTGTTCATTATCAGCCCTCTGGAGAGAGAATTATAAAAGCACTGTTTAACATCTGATGTAACCAGTCCTACCCTTCTCCTGGATTACTTTTGACTGCATACAGTATTTAATCTGTTCTCATTTTACAGCATAGCAACAAAACTGCTAGGACATACCAGCCTGCTAGCTACTCTGTTCATCATTATTCTCTCTGGCAAGTCCATGGTGTTAGCAATGGCCAAGATGATTAACTTGGAGTGCTTCTGAGTTGGCCAGTCAAATAAATTGTACATCACATTCTGCTTCCGGGTCCACAGAAGATCAAGCTGCAGAGACAGAAAGAGAAGAATTAGACTGAAAAAGAATGGCCTTGGATTTGCAATATTTGATGGGGGTTTGAGAGTGCTAGCTCTGCCACAACAGACTTCTTATGTGATTCTGAACAAGCTGTCTCGGTTGTGTTTCCTCTATCCATCTACTAATAGGACTGCATTTTCTGAATTAGGACTCTAATCTCTTTTGGAAAAGCACAGGCCTACTAGATGCTTGAACAGTATTAATCACAGTAGAGTGATTAAACAGCTCGAGTTTTTAAACACTACTGTGATAGTAATACTACATCTAACAAGATTAAGACAGTCCATTTAAGACCCTGAATTAGCTTACAGCAAAAAATAAGTATGCATTTGTTTATCACTGAACATAGCACATTCAAGAAGTTTCAAAACTGGGTATGACTTATTTCACTGGGAGTTTGCTCACTGGAAAAGCAGCAGCTTCCAGACAATATACAGTTGAATTCTATGGTATTTAGGACTTGACAGAACAACTTGTTCTGTGACTTGGACCAAAACAAACCATAAAACCAATGTGAAATCCAAGGCAGAGAACAATATGGCAACAGGTTACTTGCCCATTTAAATTCAGTTTCCTAGTAAGGCCAAGAGGAACTCTTTGTGTCTTCTCTCCTAAGTCTATTCCTTTTAGACCACATATGATATACTCTAAGCATGTACAATTTGTCTTTTCCCATCCTCCAGCAACTCATTTCTTATGATACTTCAAGGAAAGGGAATGAAGGATTCTTTGTCTCACCTCATCCACTACCAGCACTGTAGTCTTCCTCTTTGGTCCAGATGTATTGAACAGTTTTGCCAAGAGTACTGCAGCATGGGTTGCTGTCACCTTCTGACCTGTCAGTAACTGGACAAGGATTAAACACTGTTGTAGGTTAATCACACCAAAACCCTGGAAATACAAAGTTTAACTCCTATTCTGTTTTAACTTTTCTCTAACATCAACACTAAACATCTGTTGGGTTTTTTTCCCCCCCGTGGCAGGGGGAGTAAAAAAAGAAAAAGTAGCTCGTAAGACACTCAAGGTCTACCAGAAACTGTCCATAAGGGAGAACAAAAATAAAAGAATACATAGCTAAAAAGAAAGGTCCTGCAATTTGTCTTATATATAGATTAAGAAATCCCGAACCCAGTCTCAGGAGGACTCTAAATGTAGCATACCTCAAGGGTGTCTCTGAACACAAGACACACACTGAAAACTTAAGTCAGTTGACAAGAATAGCCTGACTTCAGTGATCTTGGACTCCCATTAAAATATTAATGAATCAGCAGGATCTAGAACTAAATTTATTCAACTCTTAAGCTAAAAAAATACCTTCAACAAGAACTGCTTCTGCAATAATCTATGTTGTGTATCCTCCCTTGCAGGTCCAAAGATATACAGAAATTAAAGCATGACATTTCAAAATTACACTATATAAGCTGAATCAATTGTTCAACATAGTTCAGAGTCAAGCTGTAAAGTAAAGGGGAGATTGCATTTGAAAATTGTATTTGTTCTCCAGAATCCCTTAAAAACTGACCCAAGATTTCATAATTATTAAACAAGCTGGAGCATGACAATAATGTATAATCTAGACTTGTTTCGTGTATCCAATTCAGTCAGGACAGTCTGAATTAGTCATAAAATGCAGTTGGATCCCAGACGATCCTGATTCTACAGCTCTGGAACTGGGCATCCCATATACCACAGAGTTCAGTTTGCTGTGGTGGAACTGGCACACTTACTATACCCAGGTATTTAACCTTATCTCTCTCATCTGTTCAGGCCTTCCTGTCCCTGTTCCTTCTCTATAAACTTTCCTATGACAGTGACGTAACTGCAGTAGTGAACACTCCAGAATTTGCTTCTGTCATGCAAAGACATGTCAGCAAACTGGAGCTAGAGGCTGACCTGTGACAAGAGATACAGCAATCAGAAAAGTAGCAGCAGCCTAGCTAGGGTACTTGGATAACAGCTGAGGCAGAAGGTTTCAGAGAAATAAGTGGTTCATTTGACTGTGTGCTCCCCTGAAGGATATTTAACTGGGTTAACTTAAAGAGTTCAGGGTCCATGGGGAGCAACAAGTTTTACTTCCCAAGGCCTATTCTTTATTAATTTTAAAATTTTATGCTGAACAGGATAGGAACAAAGAATGTTAAAATACTTTAACATTACCATGAAAAGGTAATTGTCATGAAGCCTTTCACTATGCTACAGAAACACAGCAACCTGGCTACAAGACACTGTCAGCAAGACACTGTCTATGCTGGTTTGAGGAAATGATGCAAATATGTAAATTTAACTCCCAGCTATGAGGATAGGGGTATTAGAACAATGTATACCACTTCCTGCTCAGATGGAAGATGTCAAACTTAAATAAATGGAGCGTAAGTTTATAAGAAAATGCAATAGATGCTTCGGGAAACCATCATTTCATTTCCAAGTCACTGGCTTAAAGTTAGCCTAGACTGACAAAGGTATTGAGCAGTTACTGTATAATGCCTATTGGGTGATCTTAATCCAGTCCTCTGAAGGTTAATTCACACCCATATAAACGCAAGCACAGTCAGTAGTCCCAGATGAGATACTGCAGACGTTTGTCATGGAAACATGAAATACTGTATCGTTGACAGAGATGATCCCTCTTTAGCTGGATTGCTATGACAACATACCAATTAACCATTAAGACTCCCTTAGTAATTATTCTACTACTACACTGACTTCCAGAGTTGTCATCTCAGTAATTTTAAGCATACCTGTGCAGAAAAAGTTACAGAAGGGGAAAATATAAAAAGAATCTGGTTTAGATTTTTTTAAACCTGAGTGGATGTAATAAATCAGGCTATTTCCCAGCCACTGCCCTTATGCAGCTGAAAGCAAAATAGTTCAACAAGTTGGCCATGGCCTTAAGTTAATTATTTTTTAACCTGGTTCAGATAAAAGCATACAGTCTCTCAGAGGGACTACTTGGAAGTATCGATATGTTAAATGCCTTGAAAACTAACACATCGAGGATCTGATGGTAAAGTATAAGATCTCTTCTTTCAAACCAGAGAGCCATTGAGGAGGCTTTACTTACCTCTAGCATCTGCACGTAAGCTTGGTGAGGGTCAGTCAACTTCATGCCATTAATCTCTACAAACTGGAATGATGGCAGGTCATCATTTTCTGCAGCTTGCTGAAGACAGCGAATTACCTCATGAACAGTTGCAGTTTTACCTGTCCCAGGCACTCCAGAAATGTACATGCACCTACAAAAGGAGAACACCTTTTCAGCAGCCTGAGCAAAATGATAACACTCTTAGGATTAGTGTGCTGGAATGCCTGAGTTCTGAGACCAGCATTGAATACTACTCCTCTCAATTCAGGCAATTCCCTATATTTCAGTTACTTTATTTGCAAACTGGGACACGTAACACACTGGAAGATCATGAGGATTGTTATTATTACTGAAGCAATTAACAACCTAAAATACTTTATACATGTAATTTACCTCTTCAAAAAAGAAAAAAAGGTTTCCCAGACATCTAAAACTGACTAGTTATACTTTGGTCTGTAATTTGAATCTGTACAATCCACATTATTTCTATGCACAATCCTTCTTAAGGAAGAAAAATACTAGGAAAATTCAGCTAGGAACCTTAATTCAGCCAAATGATAACTTTTTAAATAAAAGGAGCGTTGATTGTCTGACTGCTGTTATGCCATAGGTAGATGTTATCTTGGTTACAGTCTCACCAACAAACTTACCCTCCTGTACCATCAATAAGTTTGCTTTCCACAAAGTTATAGATATCCTGGAATTCTTCCTCACGACAAGGCAGACATTCTGGGATAGCAGAAACATGCAGCCTTTTGATTAAAAAAGAAAAGGAAAATTGAAATAGGAGGTCCAAAGTTTGCATTTTCACAGTTCTACCTGAAAGGCCTACTGAGGAAAACAAAGAGCCAGACGCTCCACCTTTCACAGTTGTATGTAGTTTTCCAAATCTCTCCCACGTACTTTAAATCTGAACACCAATGTCAAGTATCCCAAAAGAAATAGCCTAGTCTCTTTATATGTGCTTTTAAGTTTTCAGAGGACTGAACAGTCATCTTCATAAACAAACACCATGAATATGCAGCAATAAAGAACTAGCTGTTTTAATTCACAAAAAATTTGTAAGTCAATGTAGAGGTAGGATAAAACAGATGAGACTGCTTATAGGAAATTGAAAAAACTAAAACTCAGTTTGAAAGATACAGTCAATCCTGAATGCATTTTTTTTTTCCACTGAAGATTTACAACAATACCTGTAAAGCTTTTTCACACACTAAGAGGAAACAGATACTGTACCTTTACAATCTAAAGCTAGTAAGAGAGGATCTTTGTTTTTCTATTGTTGCACAGAATAAAGACAGATACCTAATTCTGAAGAACTTAGCACAGACTGGTTACAAAAATTTGGAATTGTAAATACTACTAGTATTTGCAAATCTAGTATTGTGCTGTAAATTCATAAATGCTCTTCTGGTATCAAAACACAGACTTTTACCAAATTTATTCAATATGATAAAGATGACATTTCCCTATTTCAGCATAGCCTACTGCTCTGCATAGCCGACACAACAAGATGATTTCCTCCCTTGAGCACACATTACCTTAATCTGGCTTCTTCTAGTATACTGGCTGGTTTCTGTGCTTCATGGTTGCGCCTAGGAATTTCAGGAGTTGCATTCCGGGGTGTCTTGGGTGTTCCTGGTAAAGGCTACAAAGAAAAGTTAGAACCTAAACTAGATTTTCTACATATGGCAATTTCTCTTGAAGACTGATCCTTCATACAAGTTTCCCAAACATTACTGAAGCACAAAGACTACCTAGGGATGCCAGAGGACAAGCTGGAAAGAAAAACAGTCTTTACAGAGGGAATTACCAAACAAGCCTCATAGTCTTTTCTTCCTAAAGGGAAAAAAGAAACTGGAAAGAGGGTAGTAACAAAGACAATTACAGCTTTTAATAGTCTGAAGAATTTTTAAATTGTCTATTCCTTTCTAAAGTGCTGTGTTATAAAGTGATCTGGTTCTTAAGAAACAGCAAGCAACTAGAAATTGATCTATCTGAATTTCCTTGTCCAAACAAAAAAAAGCCATACAATATCGTAATTATTTTTCGTTGCTGTGCTTACAAGTTCTAGTTACACTAGGATTTCTGTGCTAGATATTTCATAAACACAGTGTAAAAATTAGCCACTGACAGCATGTACTGGCTATAGTGCCGAAAACAGTCTTAACAAGTCAGGCCTAACATTCACATAGCCTGGTATCCCATCTCCATCAGCAGCCAGGACACTATGAGAAACTGCTGGCCAAACTCTTTGGTGTGGCCATGAACACTGTAGAGCATCCCTTTTGCGTCGGTAACCATTGGTAAGCTTTCAAGAATCAGGACAGCTCTACTGCCCAGCACAAAGTTGGTCTTATGGCTTTCTGCTATACATAGATTGCACTCAATAAAAACTATATAGAACTAAAATGTCTCTGCGCAGCTTACAATAAAAGTAAAAATGGTGGCCATAAACGTATTCATCAGTTTGGCTCCAGCCCAATCCAACATTTTCCCCGTTTAGGCTAGAGTTTTCTGATCAACATTTTCACAACATTCACAATATGCAAGTGTTTTATACATTCACATAACCTACTCATATCAAAGATTGTATGAATCAAGAAAATGTTTCATTAAAAGCTAAGGGGTTCAGACACTTGATGGTGGTCCACAGCCATCAAGCATTCAAATAATTGCCTCAAATAACAGCAGCCCCTTTATATAGAACCTTACAGTTTTCTTCAGGGTCTTAGGAGTGTGAACTGAAGACTTCCTTGAAGATTTTGGGGTGCTGAGCATTCTGCTTGATTTAGTTTTCTTTTCTGGTGTACAGAGCACATCATTGTCCTCTTCTTCACTACTTGAAGAGTAAGAGCTGTCTGAGCTAGATAGAAAATCCTCTTCCTGGTTCAACTCCAGTGTATTTAATATGCTATGAGAAACAGAAATGACAGTAGTTTTAAAAAAATACATACAACTCTACACAGTACTAAGTATCATTTGTACATTTTCAGCTTTTTCTGTAGTTAAATGGAATCAGCAAGCCAACATATTTTCCACTTGAGCTGTTCATTTTCCATGGCTACTTAGTAGACTCGTTTAAAGGAAGTCAGTTTTCTGATGAACACCATGAGTCAGCTTTAAGTTTCTGAACATAAGACAGTTTTCACTCATACCGCAATTAAGCTGTGCTTCTAGAACCATTTGCATTTCAATATTAAGCTAGACAAACAGTCAAGGCTTCAAGCTATCAATAGCGATCTGAATAAGATATCACGGATGCAAAAGTTTACCTGACTTGCTCTGCAATGAGAGCGCTTGTTTTCTGTGCACATATTCTACGAGAACGAGGGGTCGATACAGGGCTCTGACTACCCAGTTCCTGATGTCCAATTGAACTGTAAAGAAAGAACACAAAGCTATTTGTATTTCCTCGTTGCATCACACTTGTAAAGATGGAGAGGCGGCCTTTCAAACTTCAGGCTCAATTGTTATGGCTGTCAATCCAGCACAAATTCTCATTTACAGTTATTTACAGATTGGCTATAGCATGGACACCAGCAGCACAATTTCCCCTCTTGCACCCTCTCTTCAATATATGTTTGCCAAGAAAAAAAAACCGAAACCACAAAATATTTACTATAGTTCATTCATGGTCTGTACTGTAAAGATTTTTATGATAAAGTGTTTCTATAAAGCTCTGTGAACCAGCTGAGGAAAGCTGCTAAGTCTAAAGAGAGGACCTGAGTCCATACAAGTCAGAGTTGCTAGCTGACCTGTGGTGCTGTGACAACAGCAACTGCACTAGCATTAGTTCAAAACAGATGTCTCTGATATGGGCCCTATCAACGTTATACCAGCTTGTTTCCTGATGCACCCTCAGCTGGCAACAGCTATTTATTTCAGCTTGACTAACAGCTGTTGCACATTAACAGCTTTCCCTCACTTCCCCAGTTAGACACATATACATCAGCAAAGAGCACCAAACAGATGCTGATATAGTTGAATTAACAGCCAAATTATTTTGCAAATATAACACTGCCAAACAGAAGGGACAGGGGCTTAAAACACTAGTGTTTGTTTGTTTGGTTGTGGGTTTTTGGTGTTTGGTTTTTTTGTTGGGGTTTTTTGTTTGTTTGTTTTTTAAGAGAAAACAAATATGATTTTCTTCAAGCATCTCTGATCTGCCCTTTGGAGTAAATTTTTCTACTTGTGTTTTGAGATTCCTTGGTTGTCTTTTTAGGCATCTCTTCATCCCTACCACTGAAACCCTTTACTGTTAATACAACTTTTCTATTAGTTCAGAGGACACAGTGAGATGAATTACTTTATTTGTAGACAGTTCTCAAATTTTTTTTAGATCTGTAAATACCATTAAAATGCCATTACCTTATCAATGGAAAGTAAATTTCTTTTGCTATACAATAAGTGACAAAAATGGGGTGCAGATCCACTAAGTATTGCACCAACATCTTTACTCTGAAAGGAGGAATACGACTTGCAATATTTTTATACAAGAAGGTCTGATCCATTCTCCTCCTGTCCCAGCTTAATGCCATTTTTAGAGGCTGGGTGAAGATGTACTTAAACAATTATGCTTTTTGAGCTTTGATTTCTTTTCTACATAAAAATTATCATGAAAGTATACGTACAATTACCATGGGAACTCTCATGAGGCCAATCGCATCCCTCCCTATAGTTGAGCATATCTCAATAGTTGTCACAAGTAGGGCACATTTGAGCCTGTGTGTGACATACCTACAGCGACTGCAGAGAAACAGATTTTTACCCATGCTGATGGGTACAAACCATAATGATCAATATGGCTTCAGTTCCCTTTCATATCATCCTACCATTCCCTTTTCCAACCTCTTTTCTCTCTTCTTGTAACCACAAACTGATTGTGTCCATCTTAAAAGCCAACTCCTTTTATGATCTCCCCAATCATTCATTCACCTCCAGGTAACACACTTTCTAGAGGTTTACCACAGTACACTTGTAACTATTTAGGCTATCACCTTCTCTCAGTGATCTCAACAGGCAAAATGTAGTACACAGAGAGATTTCACCTGCTTTTCTCTCCAGAAGTCTTTCATAAATGTGCTTTAAGGGACATACATACAAATAGAAACCCCATACAAAAGTAATTATAAAAAAAGTTATCACTTACCATATAATGTCATATTCCCTATTAAGATTCTTGTCTTTCTCACTGGAGTCTTTGACCTTACTATAGGGGGATAATCGTATTGGATCACTAAATGTCTGCCAGTGCTCTGCAGTATCAAACTTTGACTTATCACTGGCACAAGGCATTTTTGGTGGTGAGCCTAAAATGCCAGTGAATTTCACTTTTCTTTTAGTAGCTGATGGTTCTAATGGTACTATAGCATCACAGTCATCATCCAAAAGTTCCAAAACTTCACATCCCAGGAGCCTGCCTTTAGAAGATCTTGTGGGACCTAGGAATCAAGAGCAAAGTGAACTTTTGTCAGGCTTTAATATGGCTGGTTTGGTTAACTTTCAGAAGGCATGGTACAACTGGCTCAGTGGCTGTCAGTTAGATGACAGGAGATAGCATTACACTCCAGGAACAAGAAACTGAATCACTAGAAGGCACATGCTTCCTCTAAAAAGATGAACAAATAGAATACAAACTGATTTTTTTCAGTTTTCTAACCTGCCTCCATCACTTACAGCTTTACTCAGGCTCCAGTTTGAAAATATTGCACGTTACATAGGATGAAATGTGCTTATTCAACCAGCCCAATGGAAACATTCTAGCACACCATTAGTCAGAAGTTTAAAAAAAGTGAGACATTCTGAGGTCAAGTTAGGCTGACTGGTAGCATTTCAGCCAAGAAGTACTTTAATTTAGACTTACCAGTTACAAATAAAACATTTGCAACAGCAATTGGATATAAGCAGTACAGTTGCTTGAAATAACAGACATAAGACAAACAACTGATGCACCCAGAAGGCTTGGGCTAACTCCAAAGCCTGAATAAGGCAGCTAAAAACACTGATGTTGAATATTACCATTGTTTGAACTACCCAAAATGAAGAGGTGCAAAACATTACATTCAATACTACCAGATGGACAGAATATTGCCATATACATACTGTTTAACTGTAACTTCTTCCTTGCTGTTGGAGTTCTCATGCCATTAGCCACTCTTTGCGAATGTCTCTCCTTAGCAAGGGAGGACTTGGAAGCAGAATGTTTTGATTCTATTTCCAACTCTACATTTTTTGGTTTTGTGGCACTCCGAACAACACTTTCTCTCTCTTTTTTCAGGGGGGAAATGATGTCCAAAGGAATAAATGAGTTTGAAGAGTTTGAGATGCCACCTCCTTTCTTGTTAGCTTCTTTCAGCTTCGAGAATGCATCAGGGGACAAAGCCTTAAAGCATTTCCCATCCCAAGACTGTTTTACATAAAAACTTTGTTCCTTGTTTAATGTAATAGGTAGTTCCTCCCCTAGATGTAGTGGTATTACCTGTAAAAACAGAAAATACCAAAATACACATACCTCAGCATTTATTTAGCATTCAACTATTTTCTTAGCATGCAACTATTTTCTATTCACAGATCTTATTACTGGAACTCATGCAATCCTTCATTATAGAGGGCAACACCTTCAACCTACATTTACACTAGCATAGGTTTATTGCACTACAGGACTCCCATTCATATTACTTCTTTCCATGCAAACCTCTAAATGAGCTGGCTGCCAACAACCAAAGGGATGGAGGAAAGAGAATATCAACAGTTTTCAATTATCCTATGTTAACTGCATTAACAAATACACATCACACATTTGGTTTGCAAGGGTGCTGCACTGTTCTATTATGCTTTTCAAATTGTTTCTGTTTCTTTCTTCCCTCTATGTGCAGGGGGGTTGCAGTACATACCATGACACTTTTAATAATGGTCTCCACAGCTATATCAGTGTCATAGCCAGGAACTTGATCAAAAAACACCTCTTGGGGAGAAACCTCTCTTTTAAGTAGTTTACGTTTATTCGGAGGTATCTCTGTAATATGAGAGAACCACTGCACAACTGCATGTTTCTGCTGACCACCTGTAACAATGAAAAAAAGTCAGTGAACATTAAGAATTTTATTGTATTGCAAACAGTTATTACCAGACCTCGATGACTTCCGCTGAAATGCCATCAAGGATAGAAATCCTCCCTGGATCCAGGTGAGAAAGCATCCGATAAGATATTACAATTCCCATTTTCTAAGCCAAATTAAAAATGTTTGATTTCAGAATTTTAAGGACTAGGATAACACACCTACATAGGGTCTCAATCACAAAATACCTGGAGACCAGCTCCAGACCATCAGTTCACTATCACAAATGAAGAAGTTCCTTATTTGCATAAATGTGATCTAATCAAACTCCACTAATCAAAAGCAGCAACAGAAAAGGAGAACTGAGAAATTTCAGAACATTTGTAATGTCAATGTCATTTTAGAAGTGAGCCAGAAACATATTTATTCACTGCCTAACAAACCAGAGAATCTTGCTGTTGAAAGGATATCTAGGAGAAAGGCTGAAAAAACACTACAAACAGATTAAGCGTGAAGAGAGTTAAAAGAAACATTTGGAACATATTATAATTGACTGTTAAGTTACTCTCTACAATTTAAGACATTCAGCTTTGAATGAAAACAAAGCCATACATCTTTAACAAATTTGTCAGATATATACAACAAAAGGAAAATCTTGTTTTCAGGGAAGCTTCATATGTTTTATTCCAGCATGAAAAGAATATTCATTTATGTTACAACAAATGTGCATTAATAAAAAATAAGCTGGAGTGATATGTATTTATGTTTAAAAAAAGTAAAGAAATTTTAAAAACCTCAAAACATTACTATGATGGCCCAAAACAAACAACAAAAGCTATTCAAAGTCAGACATAGCTAATGAGTAGTTTCTAATTCAGACTCAGACATAGTCTTTGTATCACTCACCTTCCATGATTTATCTTTTCATATCTATCTCTATAAACAAGTAGTTCTACAAGGGACAGAAATAATAAGCCCCATTTATTCAGCCTTGTACCTTATCACTATATTACCCGATGTCTAATAAAGATGCAAGTTCCAGAGCTGCAGTGCTCTTGCTCCATTTGGATTATCCAACCTCTAAATAAAGCATATGCTCACACTGTCTTCCTCAAGAACCATTTCTTTTAAATTAGACAAGTAAGCAAAAAAGATTGTAAGAATGTAACGTCTTAAGCTCTCTGTTTATCTATCAAATTTAGTTGAAATTAGCCATCAGTCCCAAATATTTGGGGAGCATGTGAATAGATGCAGCAATTACCAAAGCCTAATTTCCTTAAAAAATTATGCCAGTGATATAGCATTACTGCTAACTACATCCCCATGAAATAGGTAACGATTTAAGATTTCTCAGATAAGTAGTAAATTTTTATTTCTCTTACCATCTTCATATAAATCCAGGAGTTGTGCCACAAAAGGCTGATCTGCATTCTCCCCTTCTACTAAAATAAAGTTGCCAAGTTGTATACAGGTTTCTGTTCTGCTTCTTTCTGATGTGATAAGGATTCCCCTAGAAAGGGATACAGGCATGCACATTAACAGGATTTCATATTCTTCATAATTCACACATCGTTAAAGCTGATGGCCTGTCACTTTCACAGCTAGTTAAGCCCCCTCTTGCAAAACTTACAATTTAGTTTCCCGATTCAAAGCTTTCATATATGTTTTAATTAGACAGTTAACACTTATTCGCAGATTTGGTTAAATGCTTTTGTCTACACATTATACAATTTATAATTCAAGAGCTTTGTGAGAACATTTTTGTTATACACATGCCTCAAAACCTTACTTGTATTCTCACTTACTGCCACATTAACCTAAACGATGTAAGAAAGGCAAAGAAACCTTCATTGATTAAGTTTCCCTGGACAAGCCAGAAATAAACTTTACTTACTTGTACCGGGAAGTCCTCAGTTTTCTGTCTGAGCTCAGGGGTTTTCCATACCAGGAGTAGATAACTTTGCTTTGCTGCCGGGTGTTCATGATTCCCAAGGAAAAGCTAAAACAAATAAACAAGCAATTTTTTTTATCATCATTATTTAAAAATGAAAGCAGGGAAAGACTCAAGATGGCCAGATACATAGAAATACCGTCAATTGTTTCAGTGTGTAAGAAGAACGCGGCACGCACCGGTCGGTTCAGCGAAGCCTCCCTTCCCCGAAGCCTCCAGGCGCCTCTCCCCTGAGGGAGGAGAAAAAAGGAAAAACGTTCAGCAGCGGCTTTTTCTTCAATTCCTTTTTTTTTTTTGTCACGTCCAGCGCTGGACTAACGCACCCGACAAACGTGCGATCCCCTTTGTTGTTACCGGCTACTTCGCTTATTCCCAGAGGAGGTCCATCAGCTACTCTCCGCTTACGAGCAAGCCCTCGCCCTCCGCCGGGCTGCCCTCGGGGCCGGCCACCCGCCGCCATGGCCGGGGCACACCGCCGGCCGTTCTCAGACTATGCCTTACTGGTTTTCGCCCAGACCCCACAGCGACCAGGCGGCTGAGACCGTCACGAACATTTCGCTTGCGCTCAGTTTTTACGGTTGGGGGTTTGGGGAGTATTTTTGTTTGTTTGGGTTTGGTTTTGTTTTTTTCCAAGTAAGATTTTTTTTTTTTTTCCTTCTGGAAACAGGGCGCAAGGCTCAGGAAAACGACACGCACACAGAGCCGTTCTCCCCTCGCCCAGTTTAAACGAGGCAACAAAAACCTCAGGCAGGACTCCGCCTCAGGGAGCCCGCTCCCCGCCCCGAGCTACTACCCGCTTCCCAGGCGGCCTGCGGGGCCACGGCGTCGGAAGGCGCCCATTAGCCCCGCCGGGTCGGACCCGCGGAGAGACGCCGAGGTGCTCCACCACCTCCCCAGAGCCTCTAACCCGGCCGCCCCCCGCCTCACGGGCCGCAGGGCCGAGGCCAACTCACCGCGGCGGCGGCAGCGCGAGCTCCTGCCCAGCGCTGGGATAGAATTTCGCGCCAAAGCCCGGCCGGAGCGCCCCGCCCCCTCCGCCGCGCGCGCGCAGGGAAGGAGGCGGGAAGAGGCCACGCAGGAGCGGCGCCATGTTTGCGCCTGGCACCCCGAAGCCGCGGCCGGAAGGGATCTTATAACCCGAAGATAAGATGGCGGCCGGCGTCGTCGTCCCGGAAGCGGAAGGCGCTGCGGCCCCTCACGGAAGGGGAGCGGGGCGGCCCGCCGCGGAGTTGAGGGGAGCTGTTTAGCGGCGGCCATGGCGAACCGGACGGTGAAGGACGCGCACAGCATCCACGGCACTAACCCGCAGTACCTGGTGGAGAAGATCATCCGCACCCGCATCTACGAGTCCAAGTACTGGAAGGAGGAGTGCTTCGGCCTGACGGGTACGGCGGGGCGGGAGGGGGCTCGGCGGGGAGCTCGGTGAGGAGCCTGCGCTGACGGCCCGTCCTTCTCCTAGCCGAGCTGGTGGTGGACAAGGCCATGGAGCTGAAGTACGTGGGGGGCGTCTATGGCGGGAACATTAAGCCTACGCCCTTCTTGTGCTTGACGCTGAAGATGCTGCAGATCCAGCCCGAAAAGGACATCATCGTGGAGTTCATAAAAAACGAGGACTTCAAGTAAGTTGGTGGCTTGATTTTTCCCTCTTTTGGTTGTCGTACTGAATGAAACCGTCCAAAAACTGCCAGGGAAACCCCAGTGCCGGGTTTAGTTTTTAGTGGGCCTTGATGAACTCTTCTCGCTAAAAGGCATGTCCTTCCTCTTGCTTTCAAGACTGCTCTCCTTGTCGCTTGGGCTGTTGGAATGGTGGTTTGCCTTTGTGGCATGTGCTCTCTGTGCTAATACACCCCCACCTTAAGTATTTAGAACAACATGCATTAAGGGAGCCATATTAATCTATTTTTTCTTCAGTATTTTGTCTTTATGAGTGATCATGCACCCATACAGAGATTATATATGTATACTTGAGTGTGTGTATATATATACTTTTTTATGTATATACTTGAGTAATTGAAGGAGAAAATCTAAACAGTCATGTATTCTATTTATTTTAGTGTACTGACTTTCCTCAGACACTTGTGGGAAAAACTCCTCTTTTATCTAAACTGCTAACTATGCAGAAAGGTCAGATACATGAAATGGTTTACTTTTCAGGTATGTCCGAATGCTTGGTGCGTTGTACATGAGATTGACAGGCACTGCCATTGACTGCTACAAGTATCTTGAACCACTGTACAACGACTATCGAAAAATAAAAAGTCAGAACAGAAATGGGGGTAAGCAGTCTCACTTAGTTGTGGTTTCTTAGTACCTCATAGATGACCTTTTGTTAAAAAAACATATCATGCTAGATAAGTGTTCTATTTAGTAATATAAGCTTAAAAAATTGTGGCATAACCGTATTTTTGAAACCTTACTTTTACTTATTCATCCTTCGGATAGTCTGTTGCTGGTCTTGCTGACTTGTAAATGAGAACTGCCTTACTTATTTGCCTTCCCCAAGTGCTTTCTTTCTGTTGGGCACTGAAACGCAGCTCTATGAATACCAAAGAAACACCGTTTGAGAGCTGGTTTAAGCTCTGTGAATCTGCTAATCCTAGCTGTGCAGCAATTTCCTTTTTTGCAAGATAGGCCTGATGATTTTCCTCATCTTTGAGAATGATTTTAGAACTGCTGTTTGTACAGTCCACTTGACATAAATTGTCTGAAGTGTTACATCTTTACTCTAGCCGCTAGTGTTAATCTTGTCTTTTAAATGCTATTTCCCCCCCTTCCCAGAATTTGAACTGATGCATGTGGATGAATTTATTGATGAACTACTCCATGAGGAACGTGTATGCGACATCATTCTGCCTCGATTACAGGTTTGGAAAAGTAGATGGTTGTGGAATTCTTAACTGCATCAGATTCAATAGTTGTATCAGCTACTGGCTTGTTGCATAAAGCTATGATACAGGCCCTTCTGGCACACAAGATGCCTCCTCAGGTGTTTGTTCTTACTTGGGTTATGTAAAATAAAGTTGTAATTTCTCCTAGAAACGATACGTTCTGGAAGAAGCCGAGCAGCTTGAGCCTCGTGTTAGTGCTTTGGAAGAAGACATGGATGATGTAGAATCTAGTGAGGAGGAAGAAGAGGAAGATGAAAAGGTTGGTGAACTGTTTTGGAAAGGGATAGTTAAAGCTGGTGCTGAACCACCACAGAACACTTTACACCCTATGAGAAATACTCAAGGGGGAGGCACCAGGAGGCTGCTTGGAACTCTTGTCTCTCCCCCTTAACGTATTTTCATATAAGCTGCTTGTGGGAACTTGTTGGACCCTGAAGCAGTTCTCAAATGCTCTGTGTTTGTCAAACTTTTCTGTCTCCTGAAATTCACAAATCTGGATCTGTTCTGTGTTAAACGTATTTCAGATAAATTGTTTTACACACATACATAATGGAGAGAACTAAAGGTGATGATGAAAGTTACGGTGACCATCATAGTCAATTCTGCTGTACTTCATAAGAATCAACAGTATGGGAGGTGGCCATTTGAATTTCCCGTTGGCAAACTTAGGCGGTACCACTTACTTCTGAATACGAAATACTTGAGGACGGGGAAAGCTTGATTACATGACTTTTGTTATTTATATTAATTGTTCAGAAATCTTTACTGATAGATAAAAACCTTGATGAAACAAGACTTAAAGAATCTTCCTCTCCCCCGCCATTGTTTCCAGCTGGAACGAGCACCCTCTCCTGACCATCGCAGAAGAGGCTACAGAGACCTTGATAAACCTCGCAGATCTCCAGCTGTGCGATACAGGCGGAGCCGAAGCAGGTCTCCAAGAAGGTGACACAGCTCTTCTTTTACCTATTGTGCTGCAGATGGCTGCAGCAAAGCATAGAAGTGAAGATGACAATTCAGCCACAATCTCTTAAAACTCCCAATTCCTTCAGCCACTTTCTGAAGTAAGGAGTTGCAGTGCACAGACACAGTCAACCTGTCTGCCTGTTTCTCTAGTCCTTCAGTGACTCTTGAACTTGCTGGCCAGTGTTAGCTAAACTTGATGATACAGTGAAGATATTAAGGAGAACCAAGTGCTTTGTCTTCATGTAAGCCAGAGGCTGCAGAGAAAATCCTGTTAATAAGCCAGGAAAAACTCATCACTAACCTCATCTGCTTACTGTATAGGCCAGTCCAGAAGCATGTACTACCTCTTGTGCAGGAGGCCAAACACACACTAACTGGGGACACGGGGGAATTCAAAGGAAGCCCTGGTGCTGTTGCTAGAGAATATGAGAAATTAAACAGGTGGTTCTGCTTACGATTTTTAGTGACTTTTTCTTTTCTCCCCTCATTACAGGCGAAGCCGCTCTCCAAAGAGAAGAAGGTAGTCTTTTATTCTATTATTTAATCTTAGAATGTGTGCATTTTTAGCATGGCTATTTTAAAAGCTTCCTTTCTCTCAGTCCATCACCACGCCGGGAGAGGCATCGCAGCAAAAGCCCAAGGCGACACCGGAGCAGATCCAGGGAGAGGCGCCACAGATCAAGATCTAAATCTCCAGGTATGTTTGTCATTTACAGATTAACTCTGGCAAGTCTTTATTAGCAGAACATCCACTGCAAGAAAAATCTGTGTCACGGTATCAGGAAGGTAGCATAGCTGCTTAATCTGGCTCATAAACCTGCTAGTTATATGAAAGCACAGCTGGAGAACTCCTTCAATACATGAAAAATTGCTTTGAGTACATTTTTCAAATATTTGCCAGGATGTTAATTTGAGCGCCTAATTAAGGCTAGGGTTGTTCTGGCATTATCTAGGACACTTGGTCACTAGAAGCAGATTGCATTAGCAGAACAAAAAAGAATTCCAGGGTCTATGGAAGTAACTGTTACCTTTTTATCTCGTAGGGCATCATCGTAGTCACAGACACAGAAGTCATTCCAAATCACCTGAAAGGTAAAGGCTCGGCCTATTTCTTAAGGGTGCCTATACTGCCACAGGAGCTCTTACCTGTCACTTAATCTTGGGGATTGAAGGTCGTCTTACAATGTTGGAGACCAAATATTTCATACAGTACCTCCCTTAGTGTTGTAGTCAAGTCACACTATCCATATTTGACAACAGAAAACAACACTTATTGCTATGAATCACCTTTGTCTTTCGAAACAATTACTAGTACTGTGTCATATGGCTTTTTTTTTTTTTCTGCTTCAGATCTAAGA